GACACAGAGGAACTCTCAATGAAAGCACCAATGTCGGTGTCAAAACCGGCGGATCTCGGGTAGGGGGTCCCGAACTATGCGTCTAGGCCGGATGGTAACAGGAGGCAAGGGACACGAAGTTTTACCCAGGTTCGGGCCCTCTCGATGGAGGTAAAATCCTACGTCCTGCTTGATTAATATTGATGATATGGGTAGTACAAGAGTAGATCTACCACGAGATCAAGGAGGCTAAACCCTAGAAGCTAGCCTATGGTATGATTGTTGTTGTGTATGTTGTCCTACGGACTAAAACCCTCCGGTTTATATAGACACCGGAGAGGGTTCGAGTTACACAAAGTCGGTTACAAGGTAGGAGATCTACATATCCATATCGCCAAGCTTGCCTTCCACGCCAAGGAAAGTCCCTTCCGGACACGGGACGAAGTCTTCAATCTTGTATCTTCATAGTCTAGGAGTCGGCCGAAGGTATAGTCCGGCTATCCGAACACCCCCTAATCCAGGACTCCCTCACCACCCTTTAGTACCGGTTGGAGCCACGAACCGGTACTAAAGGGGGCCGCTTTCCGCCGCTTGGCCTGGCCAAAATTGGCCTTTAGTACCGGTTGGTGGCTCCAACCAGTACTAAAGGCCCCTGCTATATATAGCACTTGCGAAAATTTCAGTTTCATCTCCCATCTCCAACCTCTCTCCCGTCCCGTGCGCGCCCTCGCCCTCGCTGCCCTGGCGCTCGCCGTCGCCCCCGCCGCCCGCCGTCGCCGTCTCGCCCCCGCCGCCAGTACGCCGCTGCCCTCACACACACACACGCGCGCGCGCGCCCACACACACACATTTTTTAACTTATTTTCTGTTTTATGTTTTTTAGATTAATGCATGTCAAATTGTTAATTAGATGATCGAATTAGATGAATTATCTAGATAAGAATGTTAGAATGTTAATGTTAGATGAATTAGATAGAAAAGATAAAAATTAATGTCAATTGTTAGATGAATTAGCTAGATATTAATTAGGTATATGAAATTATTTGAACTAGTTGAATTAATATAACTAGTTTATTTTTAGTTAATGCTTAGTTGAACTAGCTAGTTGAATTAGAACTAGTTTATTTTTTAGTAAGAAAAATTTAGGTATGTGAGATTTGATGATCTAATTAAAATATTACTATATATAACTGCTTTATATATTTTAATAAGAAAATTAATAGAACTAGATTATTTTTAATAAACTGTTAGTTGAATTAGTTGAATTAATAAAATTAGTTTATTTTTAATAAGAAAATTTAGGTATCTGAGATTTGATGATCTAATTAAAATATTACTAGTAAGTGTTTAATGTTTATATGCTTAGTTGACTTAGTTGAATGAATAGAACTAGTTTATTTAGTTGAATTAATAGAACTAGTAAGTGTTTAATGTTTCACATATATATAAACATATGTTAGATATTAATGTAAAATGTTAGATGAATTAGATATAAATTATATGTTAGATATATATTTAATTTAGTTATATGAGATTTGATCATCTAATTAAAATTTTAAGATATAGAACTGGCTACTTTATTTTTAGTAAGAAAATTAATATAACTAGTTTAGTTGAATTAGTTGAATTAATTAGTTGTACTAGTTAGTTGAATTAGTTGATGTACTTTATTTAGGTATATTTTTAGTAAGTGCTTAGTTGAATTAGTTTAATTAATTAGTTGATCTAGTTGAATTAATAGAACTAGTTGAATTAGTTGAATTAACAGAATTAATAAGTGTTTAATGTTTCACCTATGAACATAGGAATGTCGTCTGACGATGAACACGGTTTCATTATGTGTGAATACTGCGAAGACCAGCGCGGCCTGTGCGACAGAAATTTTCTGGTTGATGATAGGCACTTCAGCGTCAAGCTGGATGAGAACTTCGAAGTGGATACAGTCAGTTACAACGACAATTCTTTTTTCTAATTAAGCATGACTTATGCTTCATTTGCTTCAACTTATAATTTTAATTTTTCACTATTCTACTAGCGTATCCCCTGTCATACCAGAATTTTTGTCTTGGATAAGATATGTTTCAGTCCTAACAAAACTATGGAGGTAAAAAAAGTTTACTTGAAGACCGAGCATGGTTATACCTTCAACGTCAAATTATACAATGCAGACACATACACCTATTTTGAATGCAAAACTTGGCAAGCACTATGCATGGCTTATGCATTTGAGCCTGATATGGTTATCACCTTTGATATTCGTCCGGGAGATGATATTGAAGGTAATAGAGATATCTGGGTGAATGTGCAGACGCCTCCAATTCTAACATTATGTGAGTTTCTCAACCATATTTATGTCTTCCATATTGTTTATTTAAAAATAGTTGACAAGTAATTTTTATTGACAACTTATTTCCATTCAAGCAAACATGTCTGGCGCTTGGTAAACAGGACCGTCCACTGTCCCGGGGCTGAACTAAACTGTGAGGAGACAAGTCATTATGTTTCATGGCTTGAGAATCTTGATGTTGTCAAGATAAATTATTTTCCTGAATTTGAAAATCTTAGTACTCAAAACGTGCGATCAATAGTGATCGTATTAAACTACGGTCACATCTATTTAGGAAAGATGGTATGATTTTTACCATTTATCCTGAGTGCATCATTTGCATATATACATTATTTTTCAAGCTAAATTTTCATTGCTAAGTATATTACTATACGATGTTCTTGAACAGGGACTCCCGATGACAGTTGTGCCTTAGTGGATCGAGACTAAAGGTCGCATGCCAGTGGTTAGCTTACGGCCAAGACATCCTACATAGCACATGAGTGCATTTAGGATTTCTAAAAGCGAGGAATGCTTAATAGTGAAAGATTGGATCAAAATTGTTAATGATCGCAGAGAAGTACTAGGGGGCAGCAATCAGAAGCGCAACCCACGATTAGGAGACAGGTTCATCTGCATGCTCCAATATGATGAATCAGGAGAGCTATACATGTTCTATGCTATTTTACCTGAGAGAGAGCAGCATGAGTGATTAACTAGTTCATGCTCTTAGTACTTGTCCTCTCATGTTCGTGTTCTTCGTCCTGAACTTAATATCAAAGAGTGATTTGCTTTTTTGATGTTATGAACGCTTATAATATCATGACCATGTTGAACTCGATGATATCGTTGCTTCTGGTATAAGTGAATGTTTCTTCTTTAAGTTAGTGTTGGTGGTGATTAGATAGTGGTAATGACTATGATGATTAAATAGTGGTAATGACGACTATGATGATTTTTAGCTAGCTAGTATATAATGTTGTTGGTGATGATATGATGCAATAGTTTTTATATTAATATGATGATGATGATATCGATGAGTTATTATATCATTTATGAAAGAAACCGCAGATTAGTTTCAACTAGATGGATCCTAGCTAAGTGATAGTGATCAAGGTAATATGAATATGGCATATACTTGATCACGTGATCAAGTAATATGGATATGGCATATACTTGATCACTTAGCTGCCAGGATCCACATGCATCCAGTTGAAACTAATTTGCGGTACTTTCACTTAATGATTTAACAACTCATTATAATGTAAAACAATCATTAAATTGAATTGAAAACACAAAATCAAAAGAAACATAAAAAAACACCCTAAACATTCAGTACCGGTTGGTGTTACCAACCGGTACTAATAATCTACCCGCACCCGGGGCCAGGCTCGTGCCACGTGGTGGCACTTTAGCGCTGGTTAGTGCCGAACGGGGGGGGGGGGGGCTTTAGTCCCCACTCTTTAATGCTGGTTGTAGAACCGGCGCTAAAGGACCTTACGAACTGGCGCTAAAGCCCGGTTCTGCACTAGTGATTTCGAGATTTGAGCTTTTTTCATTTTAATTTTTGTACAACACTCTGGATGTTCGGTACTTAGTACTTAATGGTATATGGTTGTGTGCACCGTCTGATGCTGAGGTTCGGTAGACCCTCTTTTTAAAAGAAAATTAGTCAATATACAAGGCATTCTTACCGTAATACAAGCTATATATCAAAATGTAAGCCATTTTTTGATTTTGTATAGGGCATAAAAAACGTCTTACATTTTGTTTAAAGGGAGTATGTGTTAGTTTATGCCCACAGGAGGTCGTTCTCCTATTCTAATGTGTCCTATATGCCTATTAATCACTTGGAGTTTAAAGCTTAATACATGCCAAGGGAAAAAGAATTAGAACACAGGAAACATGCAGACGCTCATACATACGCACATACACTGACTCATAGTCATATAAACACATGCACACACACTCTATCCCTACAAACACCTCCGAGAAACTAAGTCAACACATCATCTTGAGATTGACTAAGCCGGCACTCACACCTTTGTAGTCGACGGAGACGTTTTCTCTCGTTGAACGCATATTACTGAAAGCGCTGAAATAAATTCAAAAAAATACGAGCATCATTGTCAAATCTAGGACTACATGTCAAACTATTAACGGACTTGTTTGCATAACGGATACTAACCAACAACCGGTTGTTGCCCATTCGCCCGCTCAAAACAAAAAAAAATCTCCCAGTGGGCATCGTAACATGTTAAGAACTTGTTCATCGTACATCACGCCGCAGCATTGTTGTACAGCACAGTTGGAATCCTGGTTGAACACATGCATGGAATTATTGTTCCAAAAAAGTCTTCGCCTCCTTCCACTGGCATTACAGTGTGTTGATATGAACTTGTCTTACTACGCTACCTACCTTCCCATGAATCACTCCCGAGCAACTCAGAAGCTCCGTCGGCGCAGCCCGGATCGATGAGTTGTTCATGTTCATCCATGTGCCCAGTTGACATTGAACTACAACGATATACTAATTAAAGAAGCTGTACACATGTATAGCGGCCGAAGCAACAATTCGTGCCTGGTACATTCCTCGAACTACCTCACAGAGCCCATCTATAAGTAGACGGCCGCAACAGCGTCAGGAGGCACAGAGGCCGAAGCGCAGGCAGTTTCAAGCACCGAACCTGCAGACATGGCAAACCTCGCCGTTGCCATCTTGTTTGCATCGCTCGGAGCCGTGGCTACTGCTCAAAAAACCTCCGCGCCGGCGGCAATGCCAGCCTACCAAGGCTCCTACCCAAGCTACGCTAGTCCGCCGGTAGCCGAAATGCCAGCCTATCAAGGTTCCTATCCAAGCCACATTAGCTCCCCAGCTGCTAGCCCGAGCTACACCTTCCCGGCACCAAGCCCGCCAAGCATGGCCGCACCTACTGCTAGTCCACCGAGCCCGACCCCTTCTCCGTCTGCGGGACGACGGAGGCTGCGTGTCGGCTTCTACAGGCGCTCGTGCCCACGGGCGGAGAACATCGTCAGGGAGGCCGTGAGGAACGCCACGTCCAAGAACCCTGGCCTGGGCGCTGGGATAATTCGGATGCACTTCCACGACTGCTTCGTCCAGGTACAGTTAAAATTTTGAAAATCCATCCATGCATGTGGTAATACTGCAGAATATTTTTTTTAGAGAAAAGGCACAGGCCCGACTTTATAGATAAAGCCACCAGGCGGCGTCACGGATACCACAGGTTCACAGAAAAACATAACCACACAGAGGAGTTTAAGAGAAACCTAAGCAAGCATGATACAGGCAACTGCCATACACAGCGCGCAGGCCGGGGATGAGAAAGACCAAATGTCCGCAAACGACAGCACCAAATTATACGGCAGGGTTCGTCCCGGATATCTGAGAAGTCGAAGCCCGAATTTTGTTGATGAGCAGGTCCAGGGCGTCCCGATCAGGCTCCTTAGTCAATGATCTCCACTGCTGTAAGAATATACATGATTTGAATAGAACATCAGCAGGTTTAGATGGGAAGGTGAGCTCAATAGTAAATTTGTTTCTAATATTCCATAAGGCCCAGCATAAGGCTCCCAAGCCAACCCAAAATACCCTCTTGGTGATCCCGACCAAAGTTTTAGCTAGAGTTCTAATATCAGAAAAAGAGTAGGGATTCCAAGAAACCCGAAGCCAAGATCTGACGCAAAACCAAACTAATTTGGCAAGTACACAGTTGAAAAAGATGTGGTCGGAATTTTCCAAGGCCCCACACAGGTTACAGAATTCAGAGCCCGGCCCATTGCGTTTTTTGATCTGATCAGCAGTAGGGAGGCGACCACGAAAGACCTGCCAGAGGAAAATCTTAATTTTCGGAGGAACCCTTGATTTCCAGACACAAGAGAATCTAGCCGAGGGGGTACCACCAATGAGACTAGAATACAACGACTTAACAGAAAATTTACCAGAGGCCGAAAGTGACCAAACCACCGAGTCAGCCGACTCCGAGAGCACGGGGAAGAGGGCAGAGAGGCTTTGCCAATCTTACAACTCTTCAGGAGACAGAGCCCGACGAAAAGCCAAATCCCAATTATTAGCAGACAGCTCCGCGATGGAGATCTGTGGATTGGGACAATAAGAAAACAAAACCTCGTGAATGTGATTAGTACGCAAGGCATAAAACCTCGTGAATGTTTTCTTAAAGAAATGTTAATGGTGATTGCTAAAATCGTATTGCTGGATAGAATACTGCTAGTGGTAAGCATGCTCCGATTAATTCAGATGTCAGATAAATATTTTATTTCTTCTTGGTATGTACAGACATGTTTCTAGCATTTTGTCGGTGTGATGCCAGGTGTTGATTAACATGTGTGTGCGCGCCCGACGTTTTCTTACAGGGTTGCGACGCTTCCGTCCTGCTCGACCCGACAGCGGCCAACCCGCAGCCGGAGAAGCTCAGCCCACCCAACTTCCCAAGCCTGCGTGGCTTCGAAGTGATCGACGCTGCCAAGGAGGCGCTCGAGAAGGTTTGCCCCGGGAGGGTCTCCTGCGCCGACATTATCGCCTTTGCCGCCCGAGACGCTTCCTTCTTCCTCAGCCGTGCAAGGATCAACTTTAGGATGCCGGCAGGGCGCCTGGACGGGCGCGTGTCCCTCTCCAGTGAGGCGCTCGATTTCCTTCCGCCACCGTTCTTCAACCTCTCGCAGCTCGTCGACAATTTCAGGGCCAAGAACCTCGACGAGGATGACCTCGTGGTGCTCTCCGGCGCGCACACCATCGGCGTGTCCCACTGCTCGTCCTTCACCGACCGCCTCCCGCCGAACCCCTCGGACATGAACCCGGCATTCGCCACCCTGCTGCAGAGCAAGTGTCCGGTGAGTCCCAACTTCACGAACGACCCAACAGTGGTGCAGGACATTGTGACGCCTAACCGGTTGGACACCCGATACTACACCAATGTGCTCAAGCGCAACGTGCTCTTCACCTCCGACGCGGCACTCTTGTCGTCCCGGCAGACAGCCAGGAAGGTGGTGGAGAACGCACTTATCCCAAGGAGGTGGGAGAGCAAGTTCGCCAGGGCGATGGTGAAGATGGCGGCCATCGAGCTCAAGACCGCTGCAAATGGGGAGATCAGGAAGATGTGCAGGGTCGTCAACAACTAGGATTGCCAGCCACTTGTAGTTAAAACCAAGCGTGCACACTGTTTAGGTTTTCCCACCAGTTTATTTTGGAGCATCCGTCCTTGTTGATTCCCTGCATTTTGGTTCCTTGGTTAAGTTATAAGTAGAAGCATGTTATTGTTCCATTCTTTGGTTAAATTAAATAGCTGGCTCAATTATACTTGATCATATTACTTCTCAAATGAAGTTTGTTTTTTAGCTCATCATGTTACCGATTTTGCTCTGTGTTTTAATTTCATGGTCACTCATGAATCTTGACCATGCGCATCACACTCCACGCCGAGACCTGTACTACTTTCCACACAATCTCTCTTGTTTCTCACACAAAACCCAATACGCTCTGTACACTCAATGCATAATCCGGCTGTAAACTATTCGCAGATGTATCACCTTGATACAACGTATTGAAACTGAAAAAAGTACCAACTCACCTTGATGCCAGGTCTTGAAAGTTGTCATAAAAAACGTTCTATTTGCTATGAGCAAACTTCGAATGTTTGGGATTTATCGGGGTCTTTTCTTTATTACTTTTGCATTTTTTAAATTTCTTTATAGTTTTGCAATACACGGTGATCTTTTTTTTAATATAGAGTGAACATTTTTTAAATACCCACTGAACTTTTTTAGTATACGGTGAACATTTTCTGAATACATACTGAACATTTTATTAATATACGATGAACATCTTTGATAAATTGAAAAATTATTCATATAGGATGAACTTTTTTAATAATATGATGAACATTTTTTAGTTTTTTAGTACACATTGATTTTTTTAATATACACTGAACTTTTTGTAATATACTAAACTTTTTCATAAAACACATAGTAAACAATTTTCTAATAGTTTTAATAGGGTTATAAAATATCTATCTCCTAAAAGTCAACGTCCTTTTTTGGTGAAAACCTAAATAAAAAACCAAAGAGAAAAAATATATATAACTGCTCATAGGGCAAAGTGGGCTTCAGAGGCCACCCCTCCATAAAAAACCAGATACCAAAGCACGGCTCGACAAAAACAGAAAGTGCCATGGTAGTTGACGCACGGAGGCGAGAGCTCCTATTTGCCGCCCTTGGTCGGCAAATTGTTGAGCCTTTGCCGAAGGCATATATGTGAGTGGGCCCGCCCATTTGGACCCAATAGTGGTGCAGGACATTGTGACGCCCAACCGGTTGGACACTCGGTACTACACCAATGTGCTCAAATGCAACGTGCTCTTCACCTCCAATGCGGCACCCTTGTTGTCCAGGAGGACAGCCAGGAAGGTGGTGAAGAACACACTTATCCCAAGGAGGTGGGAGAGCAAATTCGCCAGGCCCATGATAAAGATGGCGGCCATCGAGCTCAAGACCAACGCCAATGCGGAGATCAGGAAGATTTGCAGGGTCGTCAACAACTAGGATTACCAGCCTTGTATTCCCTTTGTTTCTTTTTTACTCCGCATAAAAGATTTGTCTGAAGTCAAAAAAATTAAGTTTGACCAGATTTATATAGTTTTGCAACATACGGTGAACATTTTTACCACTATATGATGAACATTTATAAAAATAGACAATGAACATTTTTAGTATATGGTAAACATTTTTCAAATACATATCAAACTTTTTTTGTTAATATATGATGAAATTTTTGTTATTAAATTGAAAAGTAATAATATAGGATGAACTTCTTAATTATATGAAGAATTTTTTAAAATACACGATTAAGATTTTTTAAATATATGTGAACTTTTTAATATACACTATTTTTTAATAAAACACATACTAAACGATTTTATAAGATATGTTTTATTATTTTTAATAGCTTTTCAAAATGAATAACTCCTGAAAAACATCTTCCTTTTTTGTGAAAAGTCGACTAAAATCCCGAAGAGAACAAAATAAAAAATCGCTCACGGGACAAAGTGGACCGGGCCATTTAGGTTGGCTTCGGTATTGGGAATACGCTCGGATCTTCTCCACTCACGGGACAAAGTCGACTCATGCCTCTTGATAGATTCAGAGTTGAAAAGGTGCTTCAAGATCAAGTCTGGATACGCTCGGATCTTCTCCACTGTAGTGCGAATCGGTGGTGCTCTTTTGGCATTTAGGGTATCGATGCCTGCATGTTGTTCGGCGGCCACGCCCCCATACAATCCACCCTGCGCGCAAAAAGGTCCAACAAAGTAATGCATCCGACCAAAAAGGCCGAACCTGATGTCCATGTGTATACTGTGGCCGAAGACCCTTGGCGGCCAAAATTGGTTTTTTGTTGGCTTTTCTCTTAAGAAGGAACGGAAGTTTCAAGCAAAATGTTTCATTCGGATTTGAACAATGCCACGCCCAATTGGATATGTAAAACATCTAGCACTACAATGCTATGGCAAATCTCACCTAAGTACAAATCAAACAACAAAGATGTATTGATACATCTTTTTGAGAAAGGCAGTGCAGGCCAGACAAACAGATATACAGCAGGCAGGAGAAAAATAATCAACAAATAAAACAGGATCTTCCCTTCAAAAAAGCAACCCGAGCAAAGAAGAACCCACGGATGGGAAACAATTCTTTACATCCAATCGAAAATGGGACAAAATGAGATCAAAATGTAGCTTTACAACCAATCGAAAATGGGATAAAATGGGATCAAGTAGCAGTAGTTTTTGCGTATGTGCATTGCCAGCTAGTTGACGAGGCGGCAGTTCTTCCTGATCTCGCCGACGCCGCTGCCCTTGATTTCGATGTTGGCCATCTTCACCATCGCTTTGGCGAACTTCTTCTCCCACGACGCCGGGAACCTGGCGTTGGCGCGCACCATCCTCCCCGTGTCCTGCGAGGACAGCAGCGCGGCGTCGGACGTGAAGAGCACCCTGCGCGCGAGCACGTTCTTGTAGAACTGGTTGTCGAGCTTCCTGGGCGTCACGAAGTCCTGCACCACCGTGGGGTCGTTGGCGGCGGTGGGGCTGGCTGGGCACCGGCGGCGCAGGAGGCTGGCGAGCGGCGCGCCGATGTCGGACTGGGTGGCGAGGCGGTCGGGGACGAAGGAGGAGCAGTGGGAGCGGCCGATGGAGTGCGCCCCGGAGAGCACGACCATGTCCTCGGCGGAGAGGCCCTTGGCGGCGAAGCCGGAGACGAGGGTGCTGAGGTTGGAGGTCGGGCCGGGCAGGAAGAGGAGCGTGTCGTTGGCGATGGACCTGCGGCCGTCGAGGCGGCCGGCGGGGACGTGGAAGCTGACCCTGGCGTGGCTGAGGAGGTAGGACGCGTCGCGGGCCGCGAAGGCGACGACGTCGGCGCAGGAGACGACGCCGGGGCAGGCGCGCTCGAGGGCGGCCTTGGCGGCGTCGATGACCTCGAAGCCCCGGAGGCTGGGGTTGTTGGGCGCGCCCAGCTTCTCCGGCTGCGGGTTGGCCGGCGTCGGGTCCAGCAGCACGGAGGCGTCGCAGCCCTCGACGAAGCAGTCGTGGAAGAGCATGCGGATGATGCCGGCGCCGGAGCCGGCGTCGGCGCGCACGGCCTTCTTCACCTCGGCGCGCACGAGCGCCTCGGCCTTCGGGCACGTGCTTCGGTAGTAGCCCACCTCCAGGCCATGGCACGCCGCGGCTAGGAGCATGGCGCATGAGATCAGAATGGCAAGCTTAGCCATGGCTCCTAGCTAGTTTAGCTGATGGACCTGTGAGTGTAGGTGGAGATGGACCTCGAGAAGTGGCTGTGTGGACTGCTCATATGTGCAGATCCTATTTATAGATGGGAGGAAGTGAGCGATAAAGAGATATTCCATACGTAGAACATGGTTCCATGCCACCTCATAGATAAACCACTTGAGAGGGATCAAATGATTTTGTTAGTTGAGGGATTAAGTTGTTTGGTTTTAGGTCATTTTGCTTGTTTAATTTTCTTTCATGCATTGCCTTGGGAAAGCCAATAGGACTGCTCATGAACTTGCTAAAAGAAGGCTGCGGGGAACCACCGAACCATGATGTTATCTGCCAGCATGATCCCCCAACCTTAATAATTGCTACGAAAATCCTACATCTACGAAGAGCTACGCGCCATTTACTTGAACTACCTAACAACTACCCCCCCTCAATTTTCAAGGGGTGGGCCCGTCCTTCCCTTATCTCCAATCGTATTCATTCACCTGGTTCGTTACGTTAATTACGTAGAACTTTTTACGTAGCTCTAGCATTGCTCTAATTGCTACCCTTCTGGATAACTATTTTTACCGAATAATACACACCGACATTATGGCTTTCCCAAGAAAAAGGTTGTTCGGTTTTAGAACTGAGTGACCAAAAATTATCAGCGGTTAAATTAAGGGAGAGAAATGTTTAATTTCGCTTAAATTAAAGGCCAAAAATACTACCAACTAACTCATGTGATAAGGGAACCACGTCCCAGGCT